TAGAAGAAAAATTGGAAAATTCCTTTTTTTTTTTTGGAAAAACTATGATTGTTTTTTTTTTAATTTTATTTCTTTAGAACTACTCTTTGTTTGTTGCTTGCTGCAATAATTTTTTTTCAAACTTTTTTAAAAATTTTTTATTGCTTAACCATTTTTAGATGATCCTGTCTTTTAAAGTGTTAAATAAATACTTTTAAAATCACTTGTAAGGTGTTGACTGATTTTACATTTATTTTTTTTTTTTCTCCTTGATCTAAATCAAATTTAAATCATCCAGTGCAAATAAATTATATTATGAAGTATTTTTGTATATATTGTAAATAAAAATATCCATTGATGATTCAACATTTTACTGCAGCAATTATATTATAAGTGATATTTTTTAATTTCAATTACAATTACTATATTTATTATTATTGATAATCTCATTAAAATTACTGTAATATTTCTATAATATTTAAGTTAAATTGGAAAATTATGTCACAACTAATGTAATATGGTATAAATAGAAAAATAAAACTAAAACAAGCAAAACCATTTCAGTTGATATATAAACTGTCTGAATTATACCCTACGCACTTTTTATAAATCTGAGTACATAAAAATTTTTAAAATTAGTTTTCAATATTGTATGCCAATTACTTGAACCTATTATAATTGGATACACGACTGGCAAATTTCATTAAATTGACTTTATTATTTTTTTTTTAATATAGTCATTCTTAAATGTTATTTTCAAAATTGAATTAAAGTTACATAAAATATTAAAATTTGAATTAAATTTAGCATAAGACTTTCATTACCAAGTAAATTATAATTCCCACATGTATTACAATATTCCTTTTTTGTTATAATTTAATTTAATTTAAATATATACATAATATAAATATGTATAGGCGTATTTTAATTCATTTTTAAATTTAAATTTATTCTATTATGCACCTAATAATTGCCAAATGAATTAATTTTCATATTCTAAATTCACAATGACATTAAAAATTATAATATAAATAAGTTATAATTTATGTATATTAAAAATTAATAATCAACACTGCCGTATAATATGTTTAATTAATAACTAATATATTTATTATAATTATAATTATTTTATTTATGTTTTTGTTAATTAATATTTTATTTAATATTAAATATTTTTTTCATAATTATAGTATACTAAGCAATTAATATAATGTAAAAATTAAAAAAAAATTTTTCATAAGTTTATCCTTTGAACAAAAACTGATTACAGATCTCTATCTTGTGTCTAGACAAAATATAAATATGGCTATTATGAAAAAAAAAAACAAGATGGATTGAATCAATAAATTTTGTTTTAACACAAAATTAAAATATTTTCTTACAAACAAATAAAAAATAAAAATAAAAAAAAGGGATTAATTTCTGAAATTTTTTTTTGTAATTTTTTTTAACCTTCTTGACCCAGACTTATTTTTATAAAAGAATTTGCTTACAGTAGAGTCTATTAGACCACAATGTGTAATATCGTAAAAAATATTTAAAAAGATAGTAATTTTGTGCTAATTTAAGTTATTTTTTTTTATTTTAAATAATTTTTAACCCCAAAAATACATATTAGAAAATATTAAGCAATTTATTTTATTAAAATACTATTAATAAAACAAACAATTAGTCCGAAATTCATTAAATTAAACCAAATAACAAAAAAATTAAAAAAAGCCTTTATTGTTTTTTGCTTAAATTGCTAGATTTCTTGAAAAAAATTAATTCCAGTCTGCAATATCAATGCTATTTCTCATTCAAAGCCATTATTTAATTCATAATTTTATCAGAGATGTAAATTTCAAATGGCAGAAACGCACATTTTGCAAAAGAAGACGAGCTTTTCTGTCATCTTTTCTGGAATCAAGAGAAAATTTGCAACAAAAAATTTTTATTTTTCTTTAAAAGTTTTTAATATTTAAAAAAATCAAAAACTAAAATTCAAATCTCTTACACATTACTGACACAGGAGTGTCTCAGACTCCACAACGACTATAAGGTGGTTTTTTGGGCACTTTCTTGGAAAGATACTAATTATTGTTAAATTCCTCATCGTAGATTAATAATAATGAAGATAATTAACATATACTTCTCGAATTGTTTGCGCTAACTTTAAAAGAGAAATTAATAATTTGAATTCCGTTGTAGTCTACCAGACCCAAGTATTAATATCCCCGAGTTAACAAATCGTTTTTCTTATACTACTCGTACATATTTACTGTTTGAATATTTTGAAAAATTCCTATAATGCGATTTCGACTATAACAACCTGTACAAAAGAACTCTACCAAATCTTTCATTCAAAAAATAATTGTAAAAATTATACTTATAAATATTAAAAGCTATAGCTGAAAAACAACACTCCTTATATATGTACGTGTACTACCGTTGCAATCCAAGAAAAATACAATTTAAACAATAAAAATATTTTCGTATTTTATATAAATTCACACATGAAAATTATAGAACAATATTTAAGAAATTTTCTCATATAAAACAATCTTGTAAAAGCATTTTTCAAAACAAATAAAAAATAAAGTTTTTAAGAAAAAGTTTTGTTAAATATTTTCTTTTCATCCTGTTGTGTTATTCTTAACGTGTATAGATTATCATTTCAATTGAAAATGATTTAAAGGATTTTATGAGCACAAAATAAATAACATAAAGAATATTATATAGAAATAACATGGTAGAAATACACCTGTAATTATATTGTATTTTACGATATTACTCAAAAATGATTAGAGTAAAAAAATATAAATAAATAATGTATAGGGTTTGAAGAGTTCAATAATAAGATTATGTTCTTAAGGGAAATTTATAAAAAAAGTAAATAAATGAAATTTAAATGTAATAAACGATAAACAAGTGTACCTACATATGTATGAATGCCATGTAGGGTAGCTGCCATGTTGCGAATGCAAAAATTTATTAATTTTATATTATTACTGCGATAAAAGGTTTAATTGAGAAAATAAATATAATGACAATTAAATGAAATTTCATAAAACGAACATGAAAAAAAAAAAATAATTTTCCTTAAAAAATATTCAGAATTTTCCATTATTTGAAAAAAAAAACAGTGGTTTTGATTAATTTAATAAATGTAACAAAAATAAATTATTATGAAAATTATATTTATATAACAATATTTTCTTCATAATATTGTGAACTTAATGAAAATTTAAAATAAATGTTAAAATGCGCATAAAATTTATTGGTTGGTCTCATTTTTCAATACCTACCACTGGGAAATTATGTTTTTTCATGGAAAATTTATTAATAATAAAAATAAGAATAAAATATGATTTGAAATTTTATTCAGCATGCAAATGAATTTTATATACTCCAATATATTATATAGGAGATAGTATAGAATTAATTTTAAATATATGGCAAACACAGTGGCGATTTTTATCACTTATACACACATTTCTATTTAATTTAGTGTAAGCTATAATAAATTACAAATTTAAATGGCGATATATTTTTTTTTTTTTACAAATCTTTGAATTCTTAAGAAAAATTAAGTATTTTAATTCAAAATATATTTGAGCGTTTTAACATAGTTAAAAAAAAGTGCTTATTATTTTCAATCTATCCGTCAATTTCCAATTTATCCATTCATGCCCATTCACAAAAACTTTTTACACCCCTGAAGATGGAAAACCGAAATTTTATAAACAAATAAACTTTTAACAAAAACTTATTGCCGTAGAAGAAATTTTTTACCTATATTCCTCATTCTAGAAGTTATAAAAAACCCTAAAAATGCCATTCATTTGTTAAAGAGAAAGGTGCTAATTTACAACCTATTTGTTAATTGATTCAACTTTATCTAACTACATTTTTAAAGTATAACAACTAAAATTTGAATTAAAATTCCTAAATTTCTTCGATTCTTCTTAAATTTTTAAATATCAAACGCAATAAGAAACGCAAATTTTAGATTTTGAATCGAAAAAAATATAATATAAAATTTACGATATGAATATTTAAGACGTTGAATTTTACAATATTACGATAATTCAATATTTATTCCATATAGAAGATTAATTTATAGAATTCACTTTATTCTCGCTATTCGCTTTATGCTCATGAAATCGAATATTAATAAAATTTTATACGTTAAATGTGTAGTTACAAGCACTTTACTTAAATTCGTATTCGAAACTTGTTCGATATAAAATACATTTGAATTGACATAAGAAAAATGAAACTTGAAAAATTACTAATAAAGTAAAACTGTTTTGAATGATGAATAAGAAAACTTCGAAATTTTCAGTACTTTGTCATTTTAATATTTTGTTTTTCTGTCATTGTATTCCAAAACTTATCCCTTAGGTTACTAACAAAGAAATAAAAACATTCAATAAATTTTAAGTATAAAATATATTCAAATATCCCTTACAGTTATTTACTTTCGGTCCCGATACATTGCATTCTTTAATTCATTGTCCTCACAAAAATTGCTATTTTGCATTCAGTTTTCTTTTTTCTTTTCTTTCAGTTTTTTTACTTTTGTGTCTGTTTTGTTTTTGAAAAATTTTTCACATATTTTATACTGAAAATTCGGACACATCCTATACAAGATGTTTGTATATAGATTTGCTAACACAATATAAATGCACATGATGATATGCATACATCTATACAGGAATGAAATAAAATACTCGTAGTAAGGAAAAAATAACTAAACTCAAAATAATTTTGAAATTCTAGAGTACAAAAAAAAAAAAAAAAACATTGCAAAATTCTATGTAACGAGGAAAAAAAGGAAAATTCTTTGGAAGATTGACTTACCTTTTCCGTTTTTTTTTCTCTTTCCCATTTAAATAATATAAAATTGTTACTATACCATACATTTAATATGTACATACATACATACATACATAATATATATAGATAAATTTAATGTTTCTTTCTCTTTTTAACTTGCTTCTGGAAAAAAAAAATATAATGTCATTTCTTTCTCACAGGAATTAACAATTCATCAAAACCAGGTCTTTGGGGTGGAACTGTGTCAACTTTAGAATTAAAAGTGAATGTGACACAAGAGATGAATGGTATTGTATACACGTGTCAAAGTACTAATGAAGCACTGGATAGAAGTGTTCATGAAGCTGTTAGTCTTCAAGTTTTATGTAAGTTGATTTTCAGTTTTTCTTTTTCTATTTTTTGTTTTTTTTTTTAGTTTTATAGTTATTTTTCTCTGATGGATGAAGTATTAAAATTTTTCTTTTTTAAATGTTTTTAGTTTTCGGATTTTTTCTTGGTTGTGTTCTGTCACATTTTATATTTCAGAAAATTTTGAATTTTTTTTTTATGTAGATGCATTGTACTTCGAGATTGTAAAAATTTTTAACAGGAAATACTGTAGAAGAGAAAAAAATGCTGTCATGAAAATAGAAATTATTAATTTTTATTCAATTTCATCTTTATTACATACAAAGACCTTTAGTTGCTCGGAATTCATTATTATTTTCTTAGAATCGTTCACTACTGCTTATTTAAATTTTTCATAATTTTCAAATTATAAAAATTTTTTTTTATCAACTCATGTCGACCTTTTAATTTTATTTATTTCATTTTTTCTGTTGATAAAGTCAAATTTTTTCAGCTTAGTTTTTTCATTATTATTTTTTAATTATTTCTGTGGAACTATTTTAAATTATGATGAAAAAATATTATTTCTGAATTTTTTTAATTCATTTTTTTTATAAAATAAAATACATAGAAAAAAATGATTGGAAAGAAATAAAAAAAAAATTTTATTTGAAAATTGCTTTCACTTTTTTTTTGTCCTTTTTCAGTATAATCCTTAATTTATTTATTCCTTTTAATATAAATATACTTGCGTATAAAATATATCACACAGTTGAATAATTGAAAATAAATACACACGTCATGTATGTGTATATGTAAAGGACACAAAAAAATAGTAAAAAAGAAACAAAAAATTACAGAAACAGTTTTGAATTTAAAATTAGAAAAAAAGGACCTTTTATACATAAACAAAATTAATAATTTAACAGAAAAAAAAGCCAAATTGCTCTTAATTTGGTTTCCGAAAAAAATAAAAATTTGTGAACCTGAACTTAAAACCTTCTATTTATTATTTTTTATATGCTTTTAGTTTTTCCATGGAAATTTATTCACATAATATTTTAGAATAAAATTTTTTTCGAAAACAAACATGTATGTATACTTTGTGAATGCATCTATTTACAAAAATAAAAATAAATGTAAAAGTTTTCTACTTTTGAGTGAACAGAATTCCGTACAAAATCCAATTGGCCTTATAAAATTTGAAACAAAAAATTTATCCGAAATATTTGTGTTCGAAACTAGTGGTTTTTTATTTTTATTTTTGAAAAATTTGGGAAAATTTTGAAAATTTTTCTTGAGCAAAATACAAGTATATATTTAAAATTTATGGAGATTTTAATAGACTTTGTTCTAATCCCGTAAAAATTATTTAATAAAATAAAAATGACTACTTTGATTTTTGATATTTTACACCAAAAATATCAAATTAGATGTCAAATTAATCATAATAAATATTTTAAAAATTTTCATCCTAAATATATGCAATTTTTCAAATATTTTTATTTACCGAAAAAATCTTTATCATTTTACTTGCTTTTCCATTCCTCTACCATTTTGTTTTACAATAATGACAAGTAAAAAAACTTATAATCAATGCAAGTCATACAACTAAATTTGTAAAAAAAAATATGCATTCTTAATTTAATGCCAATTTAAAAAAATTAAAAACCAAAAGGCCATGAGATTAAAATATAGAATAAACTAAAACAAATAAAAAATATAATTAAAATAAAAGAAAAAATTATCTACAACTGTACTATACAAGTAGAATATTTTTATTACTCATATAACTACATAAATGCATATGAGTAAATATGTACATACTCTACCAGTATTCAACATTTTGAAATTAATTTTTGTTGACATTTAATCCACAAAAAGGCTGTTCACTTATTCCGTTATTCATATTATATGCTGTGTATAATACAAGCAATGTTGGTAGTAGTTGAGTGTATTATATAATATGCGCCTAAATTTATGTTACTTAAAAATCTGTATGTCAGCATTTTTTCACTTCTTTTGCTTCCCATTTTTTTTTTTTGGTTTGTGTATTCCAATAATAATTTTTGATTTGAATTAATTTTACTCTTCCTTTACAATGTTTTTTCACATTTTTTTTCACATTTTGATGCTTTCGAATGCCTATAAATCCACTCATTGTTTTGTTCAACTTACTGTTATTTTCCCCACATGATAACTTTTTTTCTTTCTTTTTTGGTTAAACAAACTTTAGATAATATATTAGCTTCAAAAATATAGAATATACATACATATAAATTTATATGTATTAATGTAGATTTAAAAAAAACAAAAATTTAGAATGAATTACACAAAACTACATCATGGGTTTTAGTTTTTAATATTTTTTTTTTCTGTTAATAGAACAAAATGGGTTATACGACACAGCTTTAAATTTCTGAAAAAAAAAATTTAAAAAAAAACAGTATGGCTTGAAAAAATAATTCATTTTGTTTTCTTTTTCTTTTTTTTTTTTATATCTTCAACAAAATCTAAAATATTCTTTTACCCTTATTATATACACTCATATATATATATATAAATATATTTACATTTCATTTATATATAATTTTAGATCCACCAAAATTTCAACCATTACCATCTGGGCTACCATCAGTTGGTGTTGAAGGTGAATCATTGCAGGTTACACTAACAGCTAATGGAAATCCAATGTCAATTCAGTATTTGTGGACCAAAGATGGCTTACCGATATCATCAACATTATCTTCATCACCATCATCATCATCATCGTCATCGTCATCATCATCATCAAATAGTTTAAATCCAACAGTAGCAGCATCTGAACAAAGAATAACAGCAGATGGTCCAGTTTTAAATTTTACAAAATTGCATAGAAATGATGCTGGAATATATACTTGTGAAGCATCAAATTCACAAGGCAAAGCAACTATTAATATAACCGTGGTGGTTGAATGTAAGTAAAAAGTAGATTTATAAAATATATGGGAAAAGTAAAAGGAAAAAAAAAAAACACCAAAAATTTTTTTTTCTGTGTTTTGCATAAAATATAGAAAAAAAAAATACGAAATTTTTAGTAGACAATTTTTTTTTTTTTTGTTAATTCTATGCACATCTACTTTTCGCATATATTTTTCAATTTGTATATACATAGATACATACATACTAAACCTATATGTTACTTTGAATGTCAATTTAATGAAAGAAATTTATTTTAGAAAGCCCCTTTTTTAAGTCGAATTCGGATTTAAAATGACATCTGTAGAGTGTTTTTTTTTTTCGTTGAACTTTTTGAGAAATTAATTATATGGCTTATGCAGAGAGTAAAATAAGTCACGCGTAATTTTTATCTTGCAAAATGAAACAAAAAAACAACAGAAAAAAACGAAACAAAACAATTTTATGATAAAAAAGTAGTTTTTTTTTCGGGTCTTTTTGGTTATTTTATGTACAGTAATGGCCGATGACAAATAAAAGTAGGATTAAACTTTTAATTCCGGTATGAGAAATAGTTCTCTTCAAACTTATTCAATTAAAATTTTAATTGCCCGTCACTTTTAACTTCTTTTTTTTTTTTTTCTTGTACATTTCGTAATGAAAAAACCTGAACAAATAAAAAAATATATATAAGTATGTGTGTACATAAAATTTTTAGCAAAGTACCTAGAGATACAAGAATAATCAAGAAAACAATGTTTTTAATGGTGATTTTAATTTCATTCAACTCAATCTATTTTCATTTTTTTCCTTGCTTCTTTTATTTCATTACAAAAAGAAAATGAAATCAAAAAAATGGAGAATACTCAAGGGAAATTACATTAATGTCATCTATCCTTGTCTTCCAAACACTCATATTATTATTTTATATACACATTAATATACGATGAATTGCAATAAAAAAATTATAAAAGTATATAAAATAAAATTTCCATATATAATACATATTTATAATACAGAGTTACAGACATACAAAAAAAACAACGATGTAATTATTTACAAGAAGAGAGCAAAAAACAAAAAAGAAATAAAGAGCAATAATAAAAATAAAATCGTGTGAATGTCCTCATTTACTCTCTTGTTATTTATATAGTCACCTCATTTAATTCGAATAATTGTACAAAATTGACTCTTGTATTTTATATTCCATTTCTTTTATAGAATTTCTCTCTTCTCTTGTTGTTCATTTTTTCCTTTTTTGTTGCTTATTTTGCATTCTTAAAGTAAATAATATACAAGAGCAATAATATATAAAAATAAAATGAGAATAAAACTACAAGTATTTCGCTACTATAATAAATTGGTCCATTAAACAGACCTGTCAACTATTGTATTATTTTTTGTTGCCATTTATTTTTTTCCATTTTCATTCTTCCATTTCTATAATACAAAAGTATTGAGAAAAGCAAATATAAAATATATATACAAGTAAAATTACAATATTTACTCATTCATGTAATAATTATTATTATTATTAAGTGTTATCCTTATCCATTATTACTGTTTTCAAGAATTACGAGGTGATAAACAAAATATTTTATATTATTTTGAAAAAAAAAATTGTCTAAAAGTATGCAATTTTGTTAAAATTTCTAAAATTGAAATTTTGAATTAAAATTCTAGTTGATTAAAATAAAATTTTAAAATTTTTTGCATATTTTACAATCTCAATTGAATAAAAATTTTGAAAATGTAACATTGGATGTATTTGAGAATTCTATGTTAAAACTATGGGTAGAAACTATGCATGTAAACTAACAAGTAGACAAAAATTAAATATAAATTCATATCGGAAACTAAGTAAAAATAATAATCTAATATCAAAAAACGAACAATAAAAAAAAATGATAAAAATTTTAAAAACTATTATAAAAAATTCTTTAAACGTTTTTTGCATTTCTAATAAAATTGTCTCTTTTTCACTTCATTTCCGATACATTCACAAATAGTAATATCCTTAAAAATTGTATCCTTTAAACAAAAATTTTCGTGTTCGATTTTCTATAAATATTGAGAAAATTGTTCTCTTTATTTTATTTAAATAATATTTTCTTTTTTTCCTCTTCTTTTTTTTTCATTTTGTTCATTATATTTACAATTGTTTTATTTAACATGTCCTCTAATATATATATATATATGTTTATTTTTTATCTTATGTTTATTGTTTTTCATACAAATTTATTACATATTTCTTACATAATATTGTACTGTGCATTTTTATTTTTTTTTGTAGATGGTACAACAATAAAATCAGTATCAGAAAATGTTATTGTTAATCCTGGTGAAGATGCAATGTTATCATGTACTGTTGAAGGTAATCCATTACGCGAAGATCATATAAAATGGGAAAGATTGGGTTATGATATGACAATAAAAACATCAAAAACATTTGCTAATGGTACATCATTTTTACATATAAAAGGAGCACAACGTGAGGATGTTGGTAATTTTCGATGTGTCGCTGATAATAGAGTAGCAAATCCAACAAGTCGTGATGTCCTATTGATTGTTAAATGTAAGTATTGTACATATATAATATATAATATATTAAAAAATATTATGTTTAATAAAACATAAAGGGAATAAAATAAGTTTTTAACTTTACATTATTTGTTATTTCTCAGTTGTATACTCGTATTGTTGAATTGAAATATGATTTCTTTAAATATGATTGCATATAAGTACATCTACATATATAAATATAATATCCAAAATATGTACATTTAATTATTAAGGGTTAATGTATTTTATATGGAACATAAAAAAAAAACAAAAACAAAAAACCAAAGTTAATCTAACGAAAAAGTTTCATTAAATTTTCCACATAATTTCAAAAATTTATTCATTCAATTAATTTTCTTTTCAAAAAAGGAAATGAAAATTTTTAAATTGCGAAATTATTATCAAAGTACTATTATTTCACTTATTAAATACACAAAAATTTTATAAATAGAAAAAAATTCAAGGTTACGCCACCTTTTTTTTTCAATTCTGTAAGCGATGAAAAAAAAAATTTTTTCAGAAAAATTTAAAAATAAAAAATAAAAGTAAAAAATTCCCTTCCCCCCATCCCTCTCCCAAAACTTTAGTTTTGGCTATTATAACAGATTTACTAGTGTCTCGTAATCATTACCGGGCCCATTTACATTCATTTCAATTTAATGAAAAGCTATTATACAACCCAATTTGAATATATAATAAAACGCCATATGAAAAATAATTCCAGAATTATAAAAAAAAAAAAAATTTTTTTTGAAAACTAAAGCTAGAAAAGAAAAACATAATATTTTGAATAGAATCCTTATTTGAAAAATAAATGAAATTGCTTCTAGCAGCAAAAATGGCAAAAAGAAAAAGCACAAAAAAATAAAATATCGCTCAGCGGGATTTAAAAAGGGAGCAGTCTTATTTCTACAATAATTTATAATATAGAATGCTTATATTTATAATTATGATCCTTTACATTCTTCGGTCTATATTAAAATACAAAATAAATTTTAATTAAATTCTGATTTTATTGCTCAGTTTTCAGGTGTGTTGTGGATTTAATAGAAATTTATTAATACAAATTATAAATGTACATGAAGAGTATAATATTATGTACATATACAATTTAAACGTACAAATAATAAAGAAAAGGAACCTAATTAATATGAATCACATACATTTTCACGTATAACAGTTATACATTCTAATATTGTATGAGCATACCGTGCATTCACACATTTTATGTGTGTTTATTACGCATAAATAAGGAAATTTTTTTTTCAATATCCATAATATGTAGGTTTATTAAAATTTTTAGATATCTAAATCGGAAAGGATAATAAAACTTTCATAAAATTAAAAAAAAATAACATTTTTTTTTTCCTTAATGACCTTGGCCTGTTTCTATTGTTTTTTCAATTTTCCATTTTGTTTTTACTCCGCAATTCCTTTTTATATCACAATATATATATACGCAATCTATGATCCGGAAAAGACATTTTAAAAATATTGAATTTTCCACACGAATTCAACTCTTTTATTGTCGTAATTAAAGTTTTCGAAATAATTAAAAAAAAAAATGAATATAATTTTTTTACTTTATTATTAAGTGTAATAATAAAAAGCAATTATTTTTTATAATTGTTCCTTTTCCTTTATTTTCTTCATTTTTAGCACTTTTCCAAAAAATTTTTTGAAAAAAGTGCTTATTAGTTTCACTCTGTCCGTCCGTCCGTCCGTCCGTCCGTCCGTCCGTCCGTCCGTCCGTGGACACTTTTTTTGTTTACAAAACTTCTACACCCTTTAAGATAGAAAGCTGAAATTTCATACGTAAATAGATCACATTTCATACGTAAATAGATCAGATTTTCTTAACTCACACAATTAACCCTTAAAATCGAGCATTATGTTAACCCCTTTTTATATTAATTTTTGCTTTATTTCAAAGACTGCATATATGCGTCATCCTAAATATATGCAATTCTAGAAATAGTTTTGTATATGAATGAAAATAATTTTAATAGTTTCATAGGTATACATAGACTGTATTTAAAAGCAGAATTTTCACTTGTTGAAGGGAAAAGTGCTACAATACAAACCATTGGTTTGACCCAACTTTATTTCTTATTTTTTTTTTCCAACTTTTATTGGCCTATAATTATTTCACCCCATGTTTTAACAAAAGAATAAATATTATTTTAAATAATCCATAATATAAAAGAAAATTTTTTTTTGTTTTTATATAATTAATTATATTATAATTTAATTATATATAGTTTCACCCGAAATTGATAAATCACCACCATTATTAAGAGCTGCTAGTGGTACAGGTGAACGTGCACGTTTACCATGTAGAGCACAATCAGCACCAAAACCAATATTTATATGGCGTCAACAAGGTAAAGATATACCAGTTAATAAATCATCAAAATATAGTACAGAAGAGAAACAAATTGATCCTTTAACATATGAATCGATATTAATTGTTGAAAAAGTTGCACCAGCTGATTATGGTACATATGAATGTATTTCAAAAAATGAACTTGGTAAAACAAAAGAAATAGTTAGATTAGATATAACAAGTCCACCAGATCCACCACTTAGTTTAAATGTATTAAATGTAACACATGATAGTGTTACAATTGCATGGACACCTGGTTTTGATGGTGGTATGAAAGCATCATATAGAATACGTTATCGTGAAGCAAATACAGAACAATATCGTTATATTGATGGTCTTCCAAATAGTCATAAATTAACAGTACAAGGACTTCGTATGAATACATTATATTTATTTTCAGTGATGGCATCAAATGAATTAGGTAGTAGTAATTATCTACCGGATTTAACGAGAGCTCATACAAAAGGTAAGTTATATGATTTTAAAAATAAAATCTTATATTTCTTTTCTTTCAAATTAAAAAATTTTTTTGCGAATTTCTAAAAAGATTCATAATTTTCGTTAATTTAATTTTTGAAAATTTTTATATTTAACGCTGCCCACTCAATATAAAAATAAATAAAATATTTGCGAACATTATTTGGGATTCTTTGAAATATTCTCACATAATCAAAATACACACAAAAAAAAACAATTATAATTAAACTCATTATGAATTAAAAAGTTGCTGAAATACCACCAAGACAACAGCCAGCATCATCATTAGGTGGTGGACCACCAGCAACTGGTAGTACACCATTAGGTGGTACATCCGGTATGCTTGTTCTTGTGGGTATAGCATCCGGTACACTTATTGTACTTGTAAATATATTCATAATTGGCTGTTGTTTGCATAAACGCAATCAAAAACGTATTATTAAGCGAGGTATGGTCATATGCTAAATTTATTTCTTTATTCTTTGAAAAAAAAAGTAAAATAAAAAATCAAAATTAATATATTAGAAGAGAAAATAAAAGGATTCAATGATTTTTTGTTTTTGATGTTAATTATTTTTGCACTTTTATGATTTTCCAAGAGGCAGCATTTAAATATTAAATTTTATTTTTCCCCGGTTGTCGGGTTTAACGTAATTGTGATGCAAAATAAAATGATTTGTTTTGAAATTTTATAAGTTTTAAAAAATTTTTATTTTTTTTCATTTTATTATTTTAATTTTATTATTTTTTTCTCTTTATTTTCGTTTTTTTTATTGTTTTCAATAAAATAAAGGACTCGAACTGATGCAAGCTGAATTAGAAAAATTAGAAAAATCTGAAATGCCACATTTAGTTATTATTGGTATTGCATTAGCTGCTTTGGGTCTTTTATTAGTAAATGCTGCCCTAGTTGCATGGTTTGTTGTTAAAAAACGAAATAATAATAAAGGTCAGTAAATTTTATTGTTTTTTTAATTTTGTTTTTTTTTTTTTTTAATTTTTAAAAATAGTAATTTTGTTGTAGATTTTCATTTAGTTGAAAATATTTTTGTAATATTATAAATAATGTAAATGAGTGAAAAAAAAATGTGACATCCAATTAAAAATATAAAAATTAAATTAATATGTTTATTGTGATTTAATTTCATTTTTAAAATTATAATATATCCAAGGAAATTGTTAAGAAAACCTTGAATAAAATAACCATAAAATGTTTTACAAAAATAATTTTAAAAATTTCCCCCTTTAGGATATTCTTATATAACAAAAATGTAAACCATTCCAAATATGCGTATAATTTATGCCTTATGTATTTTGGAGTGGTCTAATGTACTTTATAATTTTGTTTATTTGTTGGTTTAATTTCTCACAAAACAGGAACTCTATATAGGTAAAATTGATAAAATTTGCATAACTTTCTTGAAATTTCCTTCCGGAAATCTACATTTCAAAAATCAATTGATTTTATTCGAAATGTAGAATAAATCTACGAACAAATTCGTTATGATCCCATTAACCACACGATTTTAAAATAATTTTTACTACAAAATAATCTTGCAATTTGACTCAATTAGGCTCAATTCACTCAAAATAAGGCTCGAATTTCCCATATACCTAAATAGTGAATCACAAATAAATTAGACAATGTTCTCTATATACAAAAAAAACAATTCGGCAACAAATAATAACGAAATTATTAATTGACCATAATTTATTCTTTGAACAAAAAAAAATTTTGCATACAGAAGAAAATATTTAAGATTTATATTCAAATATTAGAGAGGGAGAAAAAAAAGGAAATTAATTTCTTTTTAAAATGCAACTCTTTCAACTTTAATGAATAGAATAAAGGCCAAAAATAAACTCTTTTATATTCATTAAAAAAAAATTTCATTATATAACAATTTCTTTATATATAATTATGTATGTATAACTAACCATCTTATTATTATTTGTTTGCTATGTCTATTTGGTCTTGCTTTCATTTCCTCGCGTTTCCACCAATGTTTTATTTTTATAACAATTTATTTAACACTGACAAGATTTATTTTTCGTAGACTCCTTTTTGGTTTTATATTTAAAATTTTCTTGTATTTTAAAAACAACTTAAAATAGTGAAATAAAGAAGAATTAAAATGGTGATATAAAAACTAAGAAGGAAACTGAATAAGAATTGAATATATACATACAGATATATCCACACAGACATATATAACAGTTTGACTTCATATATTTATTATAAAATTAAGTGATGTAAGGATATAAGTTTTTTTTTTACAACATTATCATTTTATCATTCTTATAATACGGTATAAAATGTCTTTTTTTTCTCCAAAGTTTTCGTTTATTTTTGTTTTCTGGTACTTGTTATAATTTTGCTGTTTTACTTATCTTTTAGAGAATTGTAACCGCAAAGAAAAACTTTTAACTTTTTTTTCTGTTTTTTTGTTCTTCTTTTTTTCTTTGTAGTGATACAATTTTACTGCTTTATCTTAGTCAAAAAAAAAAAAACAAACGACACAGCAAACTTTTGTGTATTTTTCACTTTTTCTATTTTGATTTTATTCCTTCTTTACCAAAAACTGTTATAATTTAATTCCTACGAGTAACAAAAAAAAAAAAAAGAGAAAAGCAAAATTCATAGCGTTCCCCTTCCCTTATTAATTTCTTAGTGTATCATTTCGTTTGTTGCTTTTCTTTTTTGTTTTTCTTATTTTATTATTGCTTTTTGGCCTCATTTAATTTTTATACGCGGTATAAAAAAAAAAGTGATGATGACAACGATAGCGGCAGTAGTGGCGACGATAACTGTGACGGTGACTATGATAACAGCGGAAACGGCAACAGTGATGATAACAAAGCTATATAATATTATAAATACCAGAGAAGTTTTTTTTTCTTTTTACTCAAAAAGTTTCTCTTTCTAGTTCTCTTTTATGATTCTTCTTGTTGTTACTTTAATTGTATTATTTTTTTTTTATCTCACACCTCTCTTGTTTAAACGGAACAATAATGTTGTTATAGAATTTAAAAAAATGAAATATTATTATTCCGCGTACAGGATTACATTTTGGCAGAATATTCTACGTAGTTTGCTATACTGTATACTTCGAAAGTTATAGTTTACAAAAGTCACAATATTCCAAAAAATTAATCACAAAATATATTGCTGCTCACCAAATTCTAATTGTTAGAATTATTAATTGTTAAAATTTCTATTTGCAATTTCTTGTTTTCTTTTTTTTCGAGGGACCGTTATCCCCGTTGCCCTTCTCAACTCGAACTATAAGATCTTTGTGATTCGCAAACCAGTTACATAAGCACTATTTCTAGGCCTGGAATGAATCTCAGTATTGCATCCACCCAGACTTATGAGCCTTCTGAAGGCGTCACATAGCCACAGCCTCAAATTCGCAAAGCAGATGTCGTCTCATCCTCTCCCAATTACACACGGCAAAGCTCATCCTCCACCTACCTCATTCCTTTCAGACGAACCATTATCTAGTGATAATATCCAGTGAGCACCGCAACCATCAGTCTGGGCAACTCAACGCGATCATCTCTTGCCCGCTCCGTGCCATACAAATTTCTTCGAATGCTCTATTCCATGGTCATAGCCACCATAGTCATCACATCGAACGAAAGGGCTCCTAGGTAAATCCTGCTGTCTGACAGAATATTGTTCCTGCGCTTTCTGAGGTTCCATCTGATATACTCACGAGCAAATAGCTCAATATCAAGAGCCTTCGCTAAACTAAAGTGAAATTAATTAAAAATGCTACATTTTGAAATATTTCAAAAAAAAAAAATTATTCTAAAGTGAATGCAAAGATAAAATTTTTTCTATTATAGTTTTAAATAAGAAGAGTTTACTGTAGATTTACATTAATATACAAATGTATGTAAATACTATTCATATCTAATGTAACTTATAATCTACATTGTTATATATTATCGCTGATATAGATATATTTATATACGTATATGTATGTACATATATTATAAAATGTACACAATGAAATTTTCTTTAGATATAGTGAAAAATTTGCGGAATAATTTTATCACTTTTATTTATATTTGTATTTCTTGAGCGAGATAATAATCACGTGGCGTGATTATTTAACTGTTGTATAAATACTTGTACATAAATTTTATTACATTTCTATGTACTATGATATATATAATATTATATATATATATATTATATAGATATATACATATTGTTAACACGTATAACAGATGAGTACCTATATATACATTTTAAGTTAAATTTTATTCAAGCTCGCTTGTAAAATTGTCTGTGTATGCTTTTGTACTCACACATAAAAATAAACTTATGTATAATGTATAAGTACATAGGTGCTTACATAAATAATAATATATAATTTTATATATTAAGATGTATTTTAATGCGATTCATTTCTATGATGGCCCTTATCAAATCAAAAGATATAATATTATAAAGTTATTCGCTCTTTGTATAAAATAAAGAAAACAGGAAAAATAAAAGAGAAAAAAACTTTTCAAACGGTATAAAAGACGATGATAAGAAAAGTGTATAGGGAAAAACCCAAATGATGTCTGGAAGGGGGAGAGCGAAAAACTTATTGTGGATACTTTGAAGATAAATTTTTTCTTTTTTCTGTTTGTTTTTCGTTCTGTTCTTCTCTCATTTTTCTTCTTTTTAGCTGTTTTAGTATTTTGTAGAGCTTCAAAATAAGGATAGACAAAAGAAAAAATATTTTTCTGCTTTTTTCTCCGGTTTTAATTTTTCTGACTCTTTTGATTCTCTTTAAAATATTCCTTACCGTTTTGTATAATTCTTTGCTCTTTGTATGTATATTTTCAATTTAAATTTGAGGTCAGGATTATGTAATTTTTCTGACCACTTTACATAAATAGAGTATCTTTTTTTATTTTGTTTTTGTTGTTTCTAATTTTTAAATTTTTCATTTTGATCTTATTCTGTTTTCCCTTAAACTTTTTTCATTTCTTCTTTCTTTTAAAATTTTTTAATTTTTTCTCTTGTTTTTTTTTTTTGTTTTGTTTATTTGGTAAAAATACAAATGTAAGCCTTATCTTATCTGTTAAAATTTATATTATTCATTTACAGTTATTTCATTATTTTTCGCTTATCAGTTAGTAGCTTTTATTTTGTTTTTTGCTTTTCTGAATTTCTTATTTTTGAATTCGTAATGGAATATGTCATTACATTATGAATGAAATGAGAAGTAAGTTATTTTCTTTGAAATTTAACACAATTACTTAAACGAAAATTAAAATTGAATAGTTTTATAGAAACAGAAAAAAATTCTTTTCTACAAATGTACTTAGAATCGGATATTTTTTTTTTTAAATTTTCCTTCTCTTTTTAGATAACTCTGATAGTACTCGTAATTATTATGATAACTAAGCATGGACCTGATTTGTATTATTGAAAAAGAAGAC